TCTCCCTTTTGGAGGGAGGAATGGACATTTTATGATCTGGGGAAAAAAATCTGGTGTCTGTGAATAAAAGCGCTGGTGATCATCTTTTCTTTCCGACAGCTCGCCTTGATGCATTCAGTGCAATTGCTTTTTTAAATAGCGCTTTTGGGTTGTATTTTTTAAAAAATCTTAGCTTTAAAAAAAACTGGAAAGCGCATTCTTAGAGCAAGGCACAGACTTGGTCCCCCCCTCTCTCTTCCCTGCACCCCCCGAATCCCCGGGTATTTTTATTTTTATTTTTGTTTGGCAAAATAGAATCCACAGCTGCTAAAAATGAATAGTGGCTTGCGAGGGAGGGGGGCTGCTGTGGGCAGCAGAAGACAGGCTGGTGCATCCGAGGTGTTGTTCACTTGCTCGCCTCCTTTCTGTTGACCCCCCCCCCCGTCTAGATTGGAGTTGCTGCTTTGCGTGGACATGAGCCAGGATGGATTTTCCTCGGGGTTGCTAGAAGCTGCGCTTAAACTCGGAATAGCCCGATTGCAAGCGAAGAGAAGGGAGTTGGCGCGAGTGAGAAAGCCAGCCTGCCAGCCCGAATTGCAAGCTTCCCTTTGCCTTTTTCGTCATCAATCAGGAGCAAGCCAATCTCGGGATTTTCCCTCCTCCCACCTTTAAACAACTTCCTTTTATTCTGCCTCCTGCCTGGTCGGGATCCAAAGGCGAGGCTCCGATTGGGGAAGTGTATACACTGCCAGAAATTGTTAAGAAAAAGGAAATGCATTGAGAAAGGGACTTGTCAGAAAACATTTAGCTGAGGATCAAGTACGCTCAGTGGAAGGTGAAAATGTTGGAAGGAGAGAATGAAATAGCTGGAATCTGGGACAGCTGTAAAGTCGAATCCTTCTGTTTTGGGAAACTTCCATGAAAAAGCATTAAGCATCCCATTAAGGACCCACCCCACTTTGCATCTTAAGAAGACAGAACTCTTGGAATAATTCTTCCAACAGGAATCCTTTATTAAGAAGAAGTGGTTGCAGGCATGCTAGACAGGACTTGGGGTCCAAGCTCTCCCATTCAAGGTTTTAAGGGGTTCCCCAGCAGTCCCACCCAATCACCCCCCCTTCCAGTGATAGTTTCAGGCATCACAATTCCACCCCCTTGCTCCTTTCTTTCGTCTGTATGGAGACTTCAGATAAACTACATGAAAGGTAAATAGCTCTCTTTTGTCATGGTAAGGTTCTTTGATGCTAGTTACATTCAAAGTCTTTCTTTGATGTCGCAATAAACACATTCAATTCCTTAGAAGTATACTGAAGGAAGTGAGGGCCATAAAGCCCCTTTGTTCTCCCCCTTCTCTCCCTCTTATGGCAGAATCCAGAGAAGGCAGAATTGGGGTTTTCTATATTTGATAACTGGAGATGAAGTATAATTGGATTCTGACACCCAACCCCTTCTTGTTCTCCTTTCACAGCCTCCTCGCAGGCAGAGGAGGTCGTTTTCTGGGAGGGGCATGGAGGGAAGGAGGGGATGCTTTGAAAGTTTGCCGCCCCTCCCTTCCTCAAATAATTTGGCTCCTCTTAGCTCACAGGGAGGGGAAGGGGAGCTGCACACACGCACGCTTAAAAACAGGCTCCCTCACCAAATGCGTAATCCACTTTGGGGAAGGAGGGGGGAGGGTGGAGAAGGAAGCCATCGGGTTTACTTGCGAGTAAGCATCCCAGAGGCTCCTTCTCGCCGCCGCCCTTAAACAACTCCCTCCTGAAGAAGTTTGCTTTCTAAATATCTAACTTTCCCCATCCTAAAAAGGGTCTTTGGCGGCGCAAGAGAAGGCGAGGGAGAAGGGTTGGGGGAAAAAAGAACCAAACAAACCCGGGGAGCCCGTTAATCAACACGCAGCCTTAGTGGGGTAAAGGGTGACTCTCAGCCTTACTCATTAGTAAACCCTGCGGGGTATCCGCCGGCGGGAGGGGAGCGACCCTCTGGGATCCCGACTGTCAGCTGGATCGGGCGCTTGGAGAAACAGATCCCGGAGAGGAAATAAAAGAGTGGGTAAGGCTTTGACCCCCTCCAGTCTTCGAGGACCCCCCCCCCGTCCGATTGTCCCTCTCCCCAGCTGGAGACCCTCCGGAGCAAGATGGAGTTTTTTTGAAGGGCGATAGGGAGGTGGCGGCTCGGCAGGCAGGTTCCCGCCTGCCCACGAATGTCGGGCCCACGGGGCTGAACACAGAGTCAACAGTCCAACATAACTTCCCTCCTCGGATGAGAAAGAAGGAATCTCTCCCACCCGTGTCCCTTCCCCCCCTCAAGAGACAACAGGAGGTTGCAGACAACTAAGTCAGCCAGTGCAGGAAGCCCTGGAATGGCCAGTCTAGGGTGCCTGGTTGCAGTGCTGGATGTCTTTTGCTCTTCCTAGAAGCCGGTGGCAAGAGAAAGAAGTTGTTCAAACTTCAAGCTAGCTACTGGACGCCTATTCACACTTTTTTCCTTTTTTTTTTTTTTAGTACTTGTCTGCCAACCCACCCCATCTGTAAAAGAAAAAGTCTTCCACCCAAGCATAACTTTTAAGGATTTTAAGGATCTTTGAGAGGAAGAGAGGGAGAAAGAAATAGAACGAGGGAGAGAAAGAGGGAAAGAGAAAGAAAGAGAGAGAGTGACAGGGAGAGAAAGAGGGAGAAAGGGAGAGAAAGAAAGGGAGACAGGGAGAGAAAGGGAGGGAGAGAGGTAGAGAGAAAGAAAAGGAGAGAAAGGGATAAAGAAAGGGAGAGAGGGAGGTAGCAATTGAAGTAGCAATGAAAATAATTTTATGGTTGGGGGTCACCACAACACGAGGAACTGTATTAAAGGGTTGCGGCATTAGGAAGGTTGAGAACCACTGATCTATACCCTTGAGGATCAGAAAAATCAAAGACTGAGATTTGAGCCTTTAAAGCAACAAAGCTTTAAGGATAAGATAAATAGATGCTTAATGCAGAGGACGGGATGCTTCTTATTGTTTCAAATGATGCTACAAGCAATAAAGAGAGACTTATTGGCTGAAAGGGAAGCTTTGTTATGGAAATCTGCCTAGCACAAAAAAAGACCAGAATAAGACTGAAAAGTTAAATTCAAAATTATTTGTGATGGATCAAAGGCACTGATTGATTTAAGGTTTAAGATTTAAAGTTAGAAATAAGAGAAAAACGGGTGATTATTAGAATATATATATTAAATAGATTAAGAATGTATTCTTTGGAATAATAGGTTTATTTGTATGAAAACTACCATGTAATGGAATGAAGAAAACTTAAGGGGCGTTTTAGATCTGGATTGATTTAATAACTAATTGAGTATGTTAAATTAGCAAGATGATGTTCTTGCCTGACAATATGGATGTTATTAGGTATGATAATTAACTGGATGAAATTTGAATTTGGTCCAAAGGGCTGAAATGATTTACGGTTTGATATTACTTTGTTATTTTGTTATCTTAAAGAGATTGATTGATTGATGGATTATATATGTATAGGATAGACTAATATTTTACTTTAATTAGGAGATATACTGTGTAGTGGAAGAAGAAATAAATGAGATTTGTGATAAAATTAAGGATTTAAGAGATTGAGATCTAGAATATATCTGGAAGGGATACCTGAATTGATAATCTGTTTCTTTAAAGTCAAATTTGATTATGTTAATTGTAAATTCACAAAGCACTAAAACAGGTTTAGGATTGTTAGAAATTTAAATTAGAAATGGAGTATTTTAAATGTATTAGGTTAATTGAGGGAAATAGAGAGGGAATATTCAATGTATTGATTTGAGTTATTCATATATGGTTTTATTTTTGGATGTTTGATTACCCCAGCACCAGGGTGTGTCTTAAGCACTTTGTTCTAAGAATCAAAAAACCAATAAAATTTGTTTTTTTTAAAAAAAAGAAAATAAGAGTGTCATGGTTCCAACCAACAGAAACAGATAAAGCAGGACTCTGAGGCTTGCAACTTCCTCAAAGAACATTTTTTATTGTTACAGCGTATTGGCAAGGTCAAAAGTGAAACCAAGTCTGGATAATCAATAATAAGCTCTCAATTACAAAGTATCAAATCTCTACCTCCAGAGCTAAGTCATACATCGCGTTCCCCAATTAATGCAGTTGGGCTTTTGTGGATTACGCCCTGGGCTTGGATGAAGGAGCAATAGATGACCTTGGTTCCCATGGGACAGTAGTCTGTTTTGACTACCGAAGAACCTGGGAAACTCCCCCCCCCTCCATTCCATGTAGCAACTTCAAATGAGATGAAAATGGCTGCAGTCAGCATTTATAAAGTTGACAAAGAGGAATACAAAAGCGAGTGACTGTATGAATAAGCATGTTGTGATAGTTCAATTATATATAAATAATTAACAAAATGAAGGAAGACCAAGAAAACTGGTTTTGTGGAGAAATGACACATTTGAACAGAACAATTATGAGGTAACGTATAGTAAAAGCAAGATTGCTTTGCAAGATGGAGGGGTATTGAGGAATTCAGTAACTAGTGCTTATATTGCTGGATTTTCTTTTTTTCTATCTCCTGCCTTTTAATTTTTTTCTTTGTGTCTTCATGCTCTTTGTATAACACTTCTTACCCTGAAAGGTAATGGGTGTGAAATGACATGCCTGCCCTTTAATATTGGATTCATGTTTGTGGGCAACAGTTTCTGGGTGTGCAGTTCACAAACTGGGGTGATTCTCAATCTTTCGAAGGCTAGCAGACCAGAGGAGGCCCTGCTAGGCTTCTCCTGGCAGCCTTGGCGTTTCTGGGCACGGAGTCCGCATGCTCTTCTCCATTCAGGCTCCCATTGTGGGATTCCCAAATTTGTAGGAGGGCTGAAAGAAATCCTTCAGTTGGGCCTTGGAAGCGGCTGCCAGGCTCCCCAGGAATTGGGTTGCGTCTGGGGTTCAGGGCACGGATGGGAAAGAGGCAGGCAGGAATCCCTGCACGCTTGAGAGACGGCCGTGAGATTGAGCGCTATAGAACCCACTCTTGGTTCTGTTCCTTAAGGTCAGAGCTTTGCAGCAGCAGCAACAGCAGCAGCAGCAGCAACAGCAGCAGCAGCAACAGCAGCAGCAGCAACAGCAGCAGCAGGTGGCTTCCCAAGTCCAGGCTGCTCAGATGGGAGCATCCAGCCAGGTAAGCTGCTACCCCAGAAGCTGCAGGCTGGTAAGGCCTCTTTCCTAGTCCTGAGTAGAGGAGAAGGGCATTTCCGTTCTGCTCCTCTTTCGAGTGCAGTTTCTGCCTCCTGCAGTGGGGGAACACGGCACCCTTGCCCTGTGCTTGGCAAGGCCCCCAGGCCGCTTTAGAGGGGCTTCCTGGCGTTTTCTGAAAGAGGTTTTGCCCCTTTCTCCCCGTTCCTGAGCGAATGCTCCCTTTCTCCTGCCAGAAGGTTTGGTTGGATCCTCCTCCCTCCTCAGTTCTGGGTCACCTGAACTTTAGGTGCCGTCTTGTTTCAAGGAGCCAGTTCCACGTGGCACTGATCGTGGCCCTGTCGTGCTGGGCTGGCGACTCATTTCCAGCACGCTGCCTGATTGCCTGGTTCTTCCAGGAAAAGAGTACTAAGACTCTGGCTGGATGCAAGAAGAGATGCCTGGAACTGATCTTGTGCAGCCTTTCCCTTCCTGGCTCACTTGGAGCTGTTCCTGCAGGAGCTCTTGAGGCCCTTGGCCCAAGGAGGGTGCCCTACGGAGGCTCTGTTTTCTTCCCAGCATCCTGACCGTGCGCCCTTGACAGAAGAGTTCAGTCTTGCTGGCATTGGGGAAAGTCTGTAATCTCTGTCTGGCCCTCGGAAGCCTGTTCAAGAGAGAGCCTCTCTGCTTTTGTCAGGGATCCCCTGGAAGTGAGGATAGGGCCAAGCACCGGAGGGCAGCATCTTTCTTGCACAGAGTGAACATCAGGGGAGGATGAATGTTTCGGGTTCTTCCTGCAGAAATCTGATTTAAAAGAGAGAACTCAAATGGCTTCCATTGGAAATTTAGCATAAAATCCCTAATTCAGTGTTTCTCAGCCATGGCAACTTGAAGCCATGCTGGCTGGAGAATTCTGGGAGTTGAAGTCCAGAAATGCTGCCCCATTTAAATAAACAGTGGGAGGAAGAATAAGAGGCTGGTTGCTCTTTGAATGCTGTGAGCAAAGGTCTTGCAGCAGATTTGAATTGGGTTGGGGGCTGCCATTTCAGAGAGGCAAGTTCCCCTTCTGGGTTGGGGGCTGCAGCTAGTCCTTGACTTACAACCACGACAGAGCCCAAAATTTCCATTGCTAAGCAAGACAGTTTTTAAGTGGATTGTACCTCATTTTACGATTTTTTTGCCACAGTTGTTAAGCGAATCAATGCGTTAAAGGAATCTGGCTCCCCCCATTGACTTTGCTTGTCTGAAGCCGGCTGGAAATTAACAAATATAAAACTCTTCACCTCATAATTCAGCGAGGTGTGTATGGGCAAATCCAGTAAATAACATCTTCTCTAATCCAGTTGTCAGCAAGAAGTCCAAACTGGGTCCTAAAATAATTGCATCAGTTAACAAATGTAAAACCCATGTTCCCTGTCTCAACTCAGCTGTAAGCAAAACCACGTCTAGAAGACCTTAGGGGGTCCCAGGGTCCTGAGGCTTTGCAACCGGAGGGTAACTGGGAACCAGCGCAATAGAGACAAACCTCCATGTTCCGGAGCGGCTAAAGCTTCCAGCCCCAGGCACAGAGCATTGCCCTAAGACATGAGGGGTCCTGAGCAGCGGCTCCCAGTCCTGGAAGGGGCAAAATTGATGTTTTTGCCGTGGGTGCCGCTTGCTCCTTGAGGAACCCCAAACTGTACTCGGCTCTATTCTGTCAAGCATCAGAGATGGTGACTCTCCAGATTCACTAGGGCTCAGTTGCAACCAGCTCTTCCTCGTCCAGATGTCCACAGCCTGAAGGGTCTGGGGGAGCCCCTGAATGGCTTAGGGTGGGGATGGAGAGTCAAATATTATCAGCAAAGTAAGGATCCTGCACCCAGTGCCAAGGAATGGTCTCGCCCATCCCAAACTCCAACTCAGCTTATCAAGTGTGAGAGACGCAAAGCCCGGCAGTTGGGGCCTTTAGCTTGGACAACCCATCCCACAGTCCAGCTCACCTCATCTCCAACCTCTCCCTCTGTGGCCCTGCTCTCTCCCAGACACTCACATTCAGCAGACCCACCACTTTCTCCTCTCTCCCCCAGAGGGATAGGTTCAGCTCGGCTTCACCCTGTCCCAGTTGGGGATCCCTAGTCTCGTTCTTGTCCAAGCCGCCAGACTCCCAGCACCCAGCGACAGCAGCAGTCCTAGTCCTTCCAGGTCCTGAGTGTTAGGAAGACAGGGCCACAGCAGTGCCTGCTACACGTGGCAGTTAAACAGCAGCTCTGAAAGATCTGAGGTGCCTCCTGCAGGAAAGGTTCCCTGATCTTCGCTGAAAGTCTCAAAATCTGTGGCAGGAAAGAGGAGAAAGGCCTACTGGAGCATATTGGCAGTAATTGCCAGTAATTGGACCATTTCTCTCCTGCCTTTCTCAGCTGTTCTTTTCTGGGCTTGTCTTTCTGCCATATCATGCCAAAAGTGCATGTGTGTGTGTGTGGGGGGGAGATGTCTCTCCTACCCCCCAGAAACCCCATCAGAACCCTTTGGCCTCTGCAGCAAGAGAGAGTGAGATGCCATCTGAAAAGTGAGCCTTCCCAGGGGTCCTCCTTGCTGGAGAATCCAGGGCCAGGGGGCTTGGGGCAGACTGGGCTGTCCTCTGCTGGGGGAACAGAGGCTGATGGGGGGGGGGAGAGAGCTCAGAAGATCAGGAATGGCTCAGAGAAAGCAAGAAGCTCATAGTGACTGACTGGTTGCTCCATCTTTTGCGGAGTAGGGAGGGGTCTCAAAGGGGCTTGGCAGAGGCCCAGGGGTTGCTTGCATCTCAAACTTTGTAGATGGGATGAAAGACAATGCAAAGTCCTAATGGAATAAAATGAGAGGTTTCTGGGAGCTGAATGGCTGGCTCTGCTCCCACATCCAGCTTGCATCATTTGGATTTGTCCCAGGCACTTTTTCAAACCTTTTTTGCGAGCGATCCCACTCACCACTGCTGTCTTTGGATAGCTTTTCGTGTTCTGTGGTCTTTCTTGGAAACTTGGGTTGTGACATGGAGCTGGGACTCTCTCTGAGCTTCTTCCATGCCGTTGCCCCTTTCCAAGGAAGCCGACTGGTTAGAGGCCACCCCGGCTGCGGTACTGGGTCCTAAAGGCCTTGGCAGTGGGAGGCTGGTGACAACTGCTGCAACTCCAGAAATAACCGATGACCTTAAGACGGGGCTCCCCGGATTGTCAAGGAGAGGGAGACGGCGAGAGGACAGCCGCGGGCTGACCTTAACCTCCAGCTGCCAGCAGGTGCTGCGCTTGGTGCCTCACCTCCTCTGTTCCTTTCTTTTACCTGCGTTCCTAAAATGAGCAGGAGGTAAGCTGGCACACTGCAGAGCGAGTATAGCCCCGCTACTGTGCATCACCTTGTTTAAGAAAGCCTCTTTGGCATGCTTAGGGAAGGAAAGGGGAGTTCCCTCCCTTCCCCCCCTCCCCCCCCCGCCTTTAGACACATCTTGGGGAGAAAAGGGCAGGAACTGGAGGGGTAGAAAGTTTTCTGGGTAGCTACATTAGAGAATCTGCTGAAAATTCCAGTGGCTCCAGAATGACCTCCACCTTGATAAGAAGACCCTTCTGGGACAGCCAGTTTGATAACTCTTTGAAAGTGGTAAAAGGCGGGATGGCTTCTTTGCCTCGGATGAAAGTATTAGGGGCTTCTCACTTTATTGCCCTTCAGCAGCCACCTGGCCAGGCTTCTTTGCAAACCTGGAGGACCCCAGCATCTGCAGGTCAACTTCTGGGCTTGGCTGCTGCTTCCTTCTTCAGAAGCCATTGCGAGGGGCTGCTGAGCGTCAGTGTCTTTCCCAGGGGATGCGCTCCTGGGCAGAGCAAGTCTTTGCAACTTCGCCCTGTCTCACTTTTGGTAATTCCAGGTCTCCGGCTCCCCAGAGGTTATTCTGGCTGTGCAGTAGAATCTCTGGGGGGTAAGAAGAGTTGCTTGAGGCTCTGCCTGTGATGGGCTACTGGCCCTGCAGTTCAATTGAGCACATCCTGGGAACAGGTGCTTCTGTCCCCATCGGAGAACGGCTGGAGTGGCTCTTCCCTTCAGGAAGGCTTTCTAGGACAAGCACATGACTCTTTGTGCATCGTCTTTCCCAGTCTTTCAGTCAGGTTGGCCATTCATAACTCCACTTGGGAGGGGGCAGAATTGGGCAGTTCCTCCTGGGGCCGCTGCCCCAGCTTTACTCTCTCAGCTTCCCTGTTCAGAGGCAGCATCTTCGCGCATTGTTCCCCTTGACCTCTGTAAGACAGAAGAGCGAGCCTTACCTTCACCGGGCCTGGCTTGAGCACAAAGGGCCCCTGAGTCTGCCTCTCCTTTGGGCTGCCTCTCCCTGCACTGAGCTGTTCAGGCGCCGCTCACGAATGTGGGCAGATTTGACAAATTGCCTTTTTTGAAGCTGCGGGGTTGCTGCCTTGCCAGAGCCTCCCTCTGATGGAGGCTGCCGCCCGCGGGGGGTCTCTGTTGGTGCTGACGGTGGTGGTGGTGGTGGTGCTCCTGCTCCGGGCTGCCTTCTGGCTCCCGCTGGGTTTCCTTTGGCGGTGTGGCAGAAGGCAAGGCTGAGGCAGCCCGCTTGGTTGAGCCACAGTGTTCTCACAGCATTGCGTCCATGCTAGGCCTCCTGTGTGGCTCAGAATGTGGAGGAATGCCTGGAGGGAGTCCATCTGCCGCTGCCCCCCTTGTCTTGCTAGCGCTGCCCCCCCATCATCCCTCTGCCTTTGCTTGGGAGCTGGTGTTGTACAGCACAGCCCTTCTCGTCCTTCTGGCCTTCCTCTGCATGTGGTGGACGTCACGCGTGTGCATGTGTTCTGTGTCTCATCCCCACTGCTGCTTCTGAATGACTCTTCCCAACCCATGCTGGGAATGGAGCTTCCTTGTTCCCCATGAACTAACCGTGAAGCTCCATTGGATGCTCCTGAGCCGTGGCTTCTTTCCCCTTTGGTTGTGACGCTCGCATGCTTCTGTTTTGCAGGGGTGGTTGCCAGCACTGACCTCCTGAAATGTGTGCTATGGCGGCTGCAGTCTCTGACTTACTGGCGGTTCCCCAAAAAGGCTGTCAAATTGGTGCCAACACATTAGTGCCTTTTTGCTTGCTTAGTTCAGTGCCTGTCAGGCACTGATCCAGCCACAGATAGTGACTGAGCTGTGGGTGGACCCCGGCGTGTCCCAGTCCAAGCCTGGGCCACCCTTCTGGAAGGAGGCAAGCCCAGGGCTAGTGGCCTCCAGGCTCCCACTGGATGTGACACCCCCCCCCATCACACCTGGGCAATGGTGTGTCTCTCTCCTGCAACTGGACTGCAGCTACCTCCTCCCACCACATTAACCATAACTACTTTGGTAAGCCAACTGCTGCCAGAACCCTTCCTTGGACGAGTGCGCTTGGCTTCCAGCTCCCCAGATGCTGCATGTGCTTCTTATCCTGCCAATGTGCTGCATTTCCGTGTTGCGATTACTTTTGTCTGTCCCTCTGTCCTCCCAAGATGATCACCGCAAGTATGGCCCGAGGTGGGATGCCAATAAGACCACGGTTCCCGCCCACCACCGCTGTCTCTGCCACGCCTCCAAGCACCATGCCTTTGGGTGGACCACAAATGCCTCAGGTACTTCATGGAGCGGAATGGGTTGTGGCTGGGGGCTTGTGCGAGGGCTGATTGTCTGGTCTTGGTCATCTCCCACCTTTGACCTGCACTTGGAGCAGCTGCTGCGGGGGGCCACATCGGATCGATGACAGGTGTTGCCCAGGAGCTGAGACAGGGATGCAGGTGAGGTCTCTCTAACTGGAAAGAGAAACCGCACCGGCTCCCATGTAAGATGCATCTGACACATCCTCAATGATAGGCCTGGACAGTTTGGGGGTGAGTCCTGGGGAGAGATTTTCATCGAGGGGTGTGACTGAAGAGAGTCTTTTTCACCCCAACCGCCATTAGAATGGTTCCTCTGCTTCAGATTCCCTCCTGCGTCTTCTCTTAAGCCCTGGAATTGAGCCCTTCCACCGAGATCAGTGGTGGCCCTGGGCTCCACTGTGCAAGTCTTTTAATAAGTTGGAAGGAAAACAAAAGAGAACTTTACACATCAAACTTATTTCAAGTTCCTGGAGCTAAAAGAGTAATTTTCTCAGTTTTTATCGTTTTTGCAGACTTTCTGCTGCACAGTCCAAATCTTCACTGAACTTGCATCTAAGAGGTTCAGTTTTTCCATTACCTTGATCTCGGGGTGTCAGGGTGGGGGAAAGAAAAGGCTCCAAGGATGATCACCCAATAACAGCCTCCAGGTTGGTGGCTTTGCTTCAACTTGGCTTCCTCTTATCTGTCTTTACTCTTGGTTGGCCGCATCCTGTAAATTAGGTCATTAAAGAGCCAGGAACGGTCATGTTAATTTGGCTGTTTCTGAGTAGGTTTCTCCCCAGTGCCCCTGGTGTGGCTCTTCCAGGCTGCTTTGGATCAGAATAGCCGCACCCTCCTTTCCCGGTGCCTCCCCCTTCTGCTTTTCCTGCCTTTTATTTGTGCCGGTGGCCTCCTCGGAGGAACTCCCACCAGCTGATTTATGGGGCTTATTCGGGCAGCCATCAGGTTGCGACCAGTTACCCCATTTGGCTAGGTCTGCCTGGTACTCCCCCACCCCCACCCCCTTGCAGCAGCTGCCCTTCTCTCTTCCTCTGGCTATTCCCATTCTACCAGTCGGAACTGAACCTGGAGATGTGGCTTCAGAGCTCTGGATTGGTGGTGAAAGTGGCCCCAACACAGAACAAGTCTAGGAAGAGGTGAGACCACGTTCAGGTTTAGTCATCTTTGCTGGCAAGATGGAGGCGGGTCTTCAAAGCCGTTTTTGATCTGCAGCAAAGCTTGCACGTGACTTAGCTGGCAGTGCATCAACCTGAACCAGATGGATTTAGTCCATGTCTCCGGGCAGCCCCTGAGTCAGCTCAGGGCTCTGTGTGGCAAGAGGGGACTTGTGGTTGATAGCGGCACCCCTGTGGCATTTCCGTTCTTCTGGCTCTCTTGGCATGCCCTGGGGCCTCCCGTCAGCTCTGCTTGCAAAATTTCCTGCCGGCCAAGCCCTCCATGCTTCATCAGTGCTGTAGCATCTCTGCCAAGTGCGATTTCTGAAAACTACGTCCTGTTCTTTTGGCCTGAGAAAAAGCTGCAACCCTCTGAATTCCATGGTCTCCTCTTTGAGACAGCTCCTGACTAATGGCGTTGTTGCGTAGTGAGGATGGAGGACAGATCTGATCAGGGGTGACGCCTTGGCTTTTGGTGGTGAAAGTTGCTTTCTGCAAAGGCAGCCGAGAGCCTAAATAAGGAAGCTTCTAGTTTGAACATACTTTACGCTCAAAACAACCAAGGGAAACATCTGCCGCCAAGTAGTGGGTCAATCCTGAGAGAAAAGAGTTACCATTGGCATGTTTGTAAGTCCAGGCTGGAGGCCCCTAGTTAAGGTTTATGCAAAGCTGAGCCCTGGCCGAACCCAGCCATTGTGCTCTGGTGGAAATAGGGGTTGGGGGCACTGGCAGACCTGCTGGGCTTTCTCTGGCTGGCTGACCTTGTCCCCGAGTGTCTTTAAGGCCCCCTTAGTTGTCAGTGAGCCTCAGTGGTGCTGGCGTGGCATCTTTTTCAATTGTGGATTATGAGGTAAGTGGATAGGATTTGGGGTTCTTAGGCTAAGGTGAGCTAATTCTGCACCTGAGGAGTTGCAGTTTGTGAACTGGGCAGCCACGTATCAATCAGCTAACCGAAGGCCCCATTTTCTGATGCCAGTTTACCCTGGTCCCTCTTGAATTAGTTACTCCGAGAGCCGCTCAGACCCAGGAAGTGTGGTGGCGTCATCGGAGACATAAATCGGCCAACTTCTGCACGAGGATTTTCGGTCTTTGTGTTATGGACTTGCTTTGTGCAGCTGAGGAAATGGTTCAGGGTCCTCTAGGAATGTTGGGGTTCAGCTGAGGATCTCTCTGGCAGAGATTTCCAAAGATTCCCAAGGGAAGGGGGCTCCTTGGGCCCCTCCCCAAAGGCTGCCTGCTCTGCCGAGGCCTCTCTTTCCAAAGACGTCTTTCTCTTCCAGGTCAGCCAGAGCAGCATGACCCTGATGTCTTCTCCTTCGCCTGTCCAGCAAGCCCAGACACCCCAGCCGATGCCTCCCCCACCTCAGCCGCAGCCTTCTCCTCAGTCTGGGCAGCCCAACTCCCAGCCCAACTCCAACGTCAGGTGCGGGCCAGTCTCTCGAGGGGCAGGTCCTCCTGAGGAAAGCGGAAGGCGCTGGCCCACCTCTGCTCCGGGCCTGAAACCTCTTCCTCCTCTTCCAGTTCTGGCCCAGCCCCGTCTCCCAGCAGCTTCCTTCCCAGCCCATCTCCGCAGCCTTCGCAGAGCCCGGCAGCTGCCCGGACACCGCAGAATTTCAGCGTCCCATCTCCAGGGCCACTCAACACGCCAGGTGACTTACGTCCCTTCAGGCTGCTAAAACAAGGATTTCCGTGGTGGATTCCTTCCTTCAGAAGGAGCTTTCTTGGCAGTGTGGGTTTTTTTGGACCTGGCCAGGTCAGAGAAGGAGGCCCAGTGCCTTTGGCAGCTGATTAACAGAATGACAGAGTTGGAAGAGGTCTTCTGTCTAGTCCAAACTCCTGCTCAAGCAGGAGACCCTCCATCATCCCAGAGATTAATTCCACTGGTTAATTGTTCTCACCGATAGGAAATTTCTCCTTTGTTCTCTCTTTGGTTAGTTTCCAGCTCCTGTAAACTGCCTGAAGTTACAGCTAAACTGTATTTTAACATGATAAGGGGAGGAAAGTATTACCTAGTAACAGGAGACTAATCTTATTTAATACCTCATTTTGACTGAAAGTAAATGCAACTCAGTTTAGTTTTCTGCCTGATGCCTCTGGCTTTGTGTGGTGAGGAGCTCTTTTGCCTGCCCTCGATGGACTGAATGTTGCAAATGGGCCCTGTTTCAGGACAAGGTCAGCCCCTTCCTGTTAAGCCAACCCTCCCTCCCACCCCTGAACAGGCTGCCTTTTGTTCCCCCAAGGCAACCCCAGCTCTGTCATGAGCCCGGCCAGCTCCAATCAGTCTGAGGAGCAGCAGTACCTGGAGAAGCTCAAGCAGCTGTCCAAATACATCGAGCCTCTGCGCAGGATGATCAACAAGATCGACAAAAATGAAGGTCTGGGTCCTTTGGGGAGAGGGGGGTCTGTCCTTTCAAAAACCAGAGAGGGAGAGAATCTCTCTCTCTCTCTCTCTCTCTCCACATACACACACTTTATTAAATTTGTACAAAAGAAAAAAAATAAAAGGAAAGAAATGGAGAGTGCAAGGAATAAAGAAAATAGAATAACTTCTGACTTCCTTCAATACAGTTACAAATACAAAAAAACGTTAACCTTTTGCTATAAAATTCAATAGTACACAGTATTTCTGTAATCAAAAACAGTTTTAATAATCAAATCCCAAAATTAAAGTTTCATTTATTTCAGTTTCAAGCAAAATGTGCAAAAGTGGTTTCCACCATTTTCTAAAAAGTTCACCGTCATTCTTGCTTAGCATCATCAATAATTTTACTCACTTTGTCATTTTACTTTGCCAAAGTCTCAAATTTAGACTTTATAAATGTTGTCACTTTAAATGTAACTTCATTGTACCTGGATCTAAAAAGTTCAGTTTCATCCAATCCTTGATGCTGTGCTTTTTTTCACAGCCGTGGTGAATAGCAAACACTTTGCGTGTAAATCCATGACCGTCAACATGTTAGTCAAAGGCACCCCTTCAAGGTCCAAAACATACATTTCAGTTGGCAACGCCACTGGAAGCAGAGAGAAAAAGAAGAAGTAATAGGAAACTTCCCTAGTTAACTTTGTATTATTGATCCAGACCAATTAGCACAGGGGAGATGGCGTCAGCGGGGGGGGGGGGGCAACGGGACCCCAATGTTCCTGCAAGGCCACTATCAGGAATTCCAGGCTCCCACCTATGGCAAATTTGTCGTTGTGGAATTGGAGCCTGGAATTACCTGCCATAGATAAGCTCCATCCATGAAAAACAAGTTCTCTCATAAAGGCAGTAATCCAATTTTTTTTTCTTTTTTACTAAATGTGCAAATCCCAACATCCATGTCCAGTTTTTATATTATAGCCACAAAAATATTGGAAAACTCCCAACAGAAATGCTTATCTGTGTCTGAAGTCTCTCTTCTACTTAAAGGTGATAAATTGTAGAAAGTGCTTCAGAAATGGGGTCCTGTCTAATCTGGCCACGCCATAGCTCCACCTACGTTGGGAACGCCGCCTCTCAGCCGCTCAGTTCGCCAGCTGATTGCAGATCAACTCACCAGGGGTCAATTCCCTGGATTCTCATTTGATTCCAGAGAATTCTTGAGTCCCAGGTCAGCTGGGGGGGGCGGGGGGAGACCTCTTCCTTTCCAAGGGAGCCGCTCAGTCTGACATGTCTCCACTAGAAGTCCAGAAGGATGGGAGAAGAACAGCTGAACCTCCCACCCACCCTGCACATGTGTCAGTCAGTTGTCATAGGAGTCTCTGGGCAGGATGTGTGGCTGCTCCTCAACAGCCAGTGAAGGGTCCCTGGGTGCACACGGGTCTTGAGAGCATCTGTCAGTGATCTGAGATCCCAGATTCTTACTTAGGATCTTGTAGAACCACACCTGCGGATCAGCCATGTCCTGTTTCATTGTCAGATATTGTTCAGCCTGGGCAGAGGAAGAAGCTGGGCAATTGTTCCTTGGTGAGCTGCATTCTGGGACTGTGAATGCGCACAAGGTCCCATGAAGGAGCCACCAGCCTCTCGCAGCCATCTTGGCCCCTGCATGGCAGGGAGGAGGGAGGGGGCGTCTTTTGTGCCAGCTACTGCTGAAAGAGTCATAAATAAGGCAGCTTTCTAGGTTGCTTTTTCTGACCTGGAAACTGGTTTATGTAAGATTCTGTTGACTGCTGTTCAGCCCCCACTTTGTCCCTTTTTCTTTGTCACAATCTTTTACAAGTTTATTATAATGGCGTTCTTGCAGTTGTGCCCTCACAAACATGGATATTAAATTTGGCTTCTTCACCATCTTGGCCGGCAGCAAAGGAGCTCTCCTCAGCCCCCTTGAAGAACTGATCTTTTGAGGTGGCTTAGCGGGCGGGTTTTCTCTTTCAAGCCAGGCCTTTAAGGGTGGGGTTGTGTTTTGACTGCTGTTTTTTCTGACTCTGTTGTGTTTGGGGTAGTTTTACATATTCTTTCTGAGTTCCTCAGTGAAGGAAAAGGACTAAACGGCCACTAAATAGACCGTGCACGGTCCCCCTTGCCTTCTTCTGACCGGGCTGGGCCTCCCTGCCTTTTTCCATTCAGACAGGAAGAAGGACCTAAGCAAGATGAAGAGCCTGCTGGACATTCTGACGGATCCTAAGAAGCGGTAAATTCTTGGTGGTTGTACATTTCCCTCTGTGAGTCTCTGCTGCTTTCCTCTTGCAATGAACCTCGGGGGGGGGGGCTCTATTCTTCTGCTGGGCTTTCCACCTGCTCCTCCTCATCCCCACCAGCCTCCACTGTACGGTCGGTCACAGTGTCACACAGGTGTTCTCAGCAACTAGCAGCCCCATTGTAGCTTTTGTTCTTCCCAGCCCCACCTGCATGCTGAGAAGCAGAGACCGCATTCACTTCCTTGGAGAGGGCCAGCCAAGCATCCTGGTAGTGGCTTTGGCCAAGCTGATTTGAGGAATGTCTGTGCGGTCCCGGTTTCCCCAAGAGGGAAAGCTGAGAGTCCCTTCTTTCCTTCTTAGCTGTCCTCTGAAAACTTTGCAGAAATGTGAAATTGCTCTGGAGAAGCTCAAGAACGACATGGCCGTGGTAAGTGAAGGGAGGAGTAATATGGCAGCCTGCACGTTCCTCGGAGCCTCGGATTCTGCACTTCAGTGAGGACCTGAAATTGCACGTGAAAAACTGGTGGCTAAGCAGGGTCTGAATCTTGAGTTCTCGATGCTGAGCAGGGGGCAGCAGGTGAGGGGAGCCAGGCAAGCAGGGATGGGTCAGCCCAGTGCCAAGCTGAGAAGGGCCGGCAGCTGAGGCAACCGGGGGAAAAGCACCGGATTGGAAAGACTCCCGTTCGTATCCTAATTTCTCTCTTTTGTGTTGACGGGGCGGGGCGGGGGGGGGAACGGGTCTACAGAGAGTATCTGAACTTAAATCACTAGAAAGATGGTCAAGAAACAGACTAGGCATTTCAATTGCCATCTTCTTTGTGACTTTTTGCCACGTTTAGGACCTGAACAGATAGAGGTAGCAACAAAGGTGATTGGTTCATGTGCAGATAATTGTTGTCTCTGTTGTATGCCAGCCCACCCCTCCTCCCCCTGCAGTGCCTCCCACAAAGCAGCAGTATTTGTGCCAACCGTTGCTGGATGCTGTCCTTGCCAATATCCGCTCGCCAGTCTTCAATCATTCCCTGTATCGGACTTTCATGCCGGCCGTGACCGCCATCCATGGCCCCCCAATCATGTAGGTGTCACTGTTTGACTCTTGAAGGACGAAGCAAGCAGATTTCAGACAGGGGAAGGTTTCGGGAAGCGCAGCGGGGCTTAAGCTTTTGGGGACCTCTTGGGATTTGTCATATTTCTGCATAAATGTGATCTAAAACATGTCCTGTTACGCCCTCCCTTGTCTTAATTAAAAATAAGAAAAATAAAAATCAAGTTTGCTTAATTGTGTTTACAGATGGTCCTCAACTTACATCCACAATTGAACCCAACATTTCTGTTGCTAAGTGAGACAGTTGTGAGTTTTGCCTCATTTTATGACCTTTCTAGTCACAGTTGTTGAGTGAATCATTGCAGTTGTTAAATTAGTAACACGGTTGTTAAGTGAATCCGGCTTCCCCATGGACTTTGCTTGTCAGGAGGTTGCAAAAGGGGATCACACGACCCTGCGACCGTCCTAAATACGTTGCCAAGCATCCAAATTTAGATCACGTGACCCTGGGGAGGCTGCTTTGGTCACAAGTGTGAGGAAAGGTCCTGAGTCACTTTTTCAGTGCTGTTGCAACTTAGAAAGGTCACTAAATGAACTGTTGTAAGTTGAGGACTACCCGGATATCCTGGGGCAATCATAAACGCTCGGCTGCCTGGATGGCCCTCTCGTTGCCCAGGGCTCCGGCGCCCTCCCCTCAGAAGCGGAAGTACGAAGACGATGAGAGGCAGACCATCCCAAACGTGCTGCAAGGGGAGGTGGCGAGATTAAACCCCAAGTTCCTAGTCAACCTCGACCCCGCCCACTGCAGCAACAATGGCACAGTCCATCTCATATGCAAGATAGGTGAGTGGTGAAGACGGCGGCCTTCAGGTTGGACCCCCTGCAGGGTCTGATCCCCCAAGGGCCAGTTGGGGCCCAGCAGCTGAGGCCAAAGGGGACTTGAGGACGGTGGAGTAGGAAAGAAGGGTTAGCGCTTTTGATTGATGTGCAAAAAAGCTTTCAGGTTGTTTATGCAAGATTCCCCCCCAAAAACAAATGGCACATCTGGTTGCAGATGACAAGAACCTTCCGAGCGTTCCTCCGCTGCAGCTCAGTGTCCCGGCCGACTACCCGGACCAGAGTCCCCTCTGGATTGACAACCCTCAGCAATACGGTAGGGTGTTGGGGGCGGCCCTTCTGGGCTCAGCTGCTCCGATCCCTCCTCCCCTAAGCCGGTGGGGGGACATCCTGGAATCAGACTGTTGAGCCAAAGACCTTTCAGAATCAGTATGATGGGGGGGGGAGCTGGGGGGGGCAGAGAGCAGGTTGGGCAAAGAAATTGCTTCCGGAGATTAATGCTTAATTTTTAAAGAAGGAAGCAATAAGAGGAAGAACCACCTTTCTCTCCTCCTGATTATGCAGGGCATTGCGACGCACTCAGCCTGTCATTGTGCCTCTTCTTGTAATGTTGTCTCCCTTTGCAGAAGCAAACCCTTTCCTGCAGTCGGTGTATCGCTACATGATGTCCAAATTGTTACAGCTGCCAGACAAGCACTCGGTCACCGCCCTCCTCCACACCTGGGCCCAGAGCATCCGGCAGGCCTGCTTGTCTGCCGCTTGACCGGCTGGTCGGGCACCAGAAACAAGAGCCTCTGTGGGCTCAGAGCTGGCCTTCCTGCTTGCACTGCTTCTGCCTTGGCGCCTGGCCAGGCTCTTGAGGCCTACGGGAACGTCCAGTTTTCAGGGGAGGGTTAAAAATGCCTTTGCAGAGAAGAGTTTGTGGAAAGCGAACCGGGTCCCAGGAGCCCCCCTCATGGAAAGATGGGCAGCCGGTCCAGTGCCAGCCCTGCCCTCGGTCGGCAGGAGGACCCCCTGCGCTCTGCTTCTCACAAGGCATCAAGGGGGGGCCGGCAGGGGATCTACCAGGGATCCGGACCTCTGGCTTTTAATACTCAAGTTGATGTTTCTGAGATTTCAGTTTCAGGAATTGGACTGTTTGGACACCCCCTTCCCCGCCTTGGCAGCCTTTCTGAATGTTGGCATTGTTAAGAAGGCATCCTGGATGCTTCCTCTTCTGTCAATCTGCGCACTCTGCCATTTTGAAGATTTTCAAGTAATTACTTTGCAGGATGCTAATTAATTGTAGTACAACAGGTGTAACCTTTCAGATACGAATCATTGCATTTGTTTTATTGTAATAAATCTATTGTTACAGTATTTAACATCCAGGCTTTTTTGCCAACCCAGACTTGTATTTTCACAAATCCCTTTGATCTAACAGGCTTGCCTGTATTTGGCCTCCAAGCTCCAACTGTGGTATTAAAGGCAGAGTAAACCGCTGCTTTTGAAGGCAAACCCGTCTTCGCAATTAAGCACTGTAACGGTGGCTTTCTGCAGTGTAGTGAGCATGAAAGCCAGCATACATACAAAGTCTAACAAAAATCAGGTGAGGGGGGAAAGGCCTCAGAAACAGCCTGAGGAGCTCTGAACGGCGGTCCCAGGGGCAGGCGGCTGCGGAGTGTCCTGGCTACAGGGCGGTCCTGTGCAGCCTGTTCCTCTGAACGGCTTGTGCTCGCTTCTGCCTCTCAGCAAAGGCGTTCCCCAGCGTCTGCTTCAGGGCGGGCAGCACGGCTCTTTCGGCAGCAGGCAGCGGGGTCAGGATCCGGCTGGAAAACAAAGTGGGCCTGTTGAGGGCCGAGGGGAGACTTCAAGGGGGGGGGCACCTTTCCTTAAGGGCTTGTACAGGACTCAATTTTCAAGCAAAAGCAGCTATTCTCTTCTTGTAGCCAGCAAAGGGAAAATGCTCAAAAATACATTTTTATTGGGGATACATCAAGAATAATGGGTTGATAACAGCATTAACATGTTTTGGAATATGATGATGGGACCAGGAAAGAAACAGACTTGGTCAAAAGCTCCTTTCAGCCGTGCAGACCAAGTGCACAACTGCATAAAGGTACACTTCCAAACAAGCAACCCGGCTCTATTTCAAATTTTCTCCGTTATTTTAAAGTCTGAAGTTTTTTAAAAGTTCCAAATTATTATTTTCAAGAGGCAGAAAGCAAAGCACTGTGTTTTGTCTTGCCCAGATGTAGATGTTTTGCTATGATCTTAATTGTCTGCATTTGGTATTTTTTTTTACAAGTAAAGACCAGAACTTGGAAGCATTTCTGTTGCTGAACTGAGATATTTCAGGTGTGCAGTGCAGAATTTTAATTTCATAATACTAATTAAGAGGGGATATTAAAAGGGGGCTGTGTAAAGCCAGAAAGCCTGCTTACCATTTCTTTGGGGCGTTCCTCATTCTGGGTAACTTCGTGCTCTCCTGGCTCCTAAACAAAAGGGCTCGGATAAGTTCCTCCAAGGGAGGGAGGCAGCCCGCCAAAGGGCTTTGGCCCGGAAACCTTGCCTGGTCCCTTGGCGGAGAGTTCCAGCCAGCCAGCTGAAGGGAGCCGGCAGTCGGCCTTGGCTCTAGTTGAAAGAGCCAGCAAAGAGAATGCCAGAGACCAAGGGGCTGCAGAGGCTCAGGTGGGCTGGGGGGGGCACGTTCTTCCCTCAACCGCAACTTCATAATCACTATGAAGACAAGAGAAGAAGCTAACAACCATTACAAAGAAGCCCATGCATTGTGTGTGTGCCCTGCCCTGAACCTGGCATCAAAGTGGGCAGAACCCAATCTTTGCCTTTTCACCCCACTATCACCAAACCAATCCCAGGAAGAGAATCCCGTGGCCGTATTTTTCCAAGGTCCAATGGAAATTACCACGAGAGCCAGCATGATCCAGTGGGATCCTTAACTCTTAACAACTGGAGCTTACAAGGTGTGTCTAGGTTGCTCGGCTCCAACACGAGAGCCAGGTGGAAAGGGTAGTGGTGAAGAGGCTGGACTAGGAGGGTGGATTCAGTTCCAGCCTCTCCTTGGCCATGGATTTCCCTGGGGGGGGGGTAGGCCAGCCTCTCCCTCCCAGTCCAAGAACCGAGAGTCCTGAATTAGGACCAGGGAGGGTTGAATTGGCCAGAACGTAAGCAAATTAGGTCGATTCTGTGGACTCGGTGAAGCAGAGCAGAATCAGTTACGGGGTAGACGTGGCATCTAACTTTCTTGCATAAGAAGTGACCCCTTTTTCTTCAGTGCCGCATTCAAGACCCTGGAAAAACCCCTGGAGTCAGAGACCACAGGGGTCTTCTTAAGACCTGTGTGAGGAAAAGTATTTCCTAAAATTTGAGAAAGCAATTGACATTTACCAGTTAGTCCTCTCGGTTGGGGGGGGGGAGTAATTGTACAATGCTGATTTCAGAGTCTCCCTTGGCTCCAGAAAAAAGTGTATGCCGGACCTTTCAACCTTCAGCTCTGAACAACCTTCAGCTCTGAAAGCAGCTTACCCAAGTTGACCAGCTAACATGTAATCTTCAGGAATTCTTTTGGTCTTGTGTATATCATCCAGGCATGATCTCAGGTACATCAGCTGCGGGAAGAGAGGAGAAAATGGCTCTTGTAGAGTCCTCCCTGAGTCCTGCCCAGGGTATCTTAGGCAACCCAGGAGGTGGCAAAGGTCTCACCTCTTGCATCTGCATGTGGTTAATGTTCCACAGCTGGCGAATCACCACCTCACATTCCTCCAGGCTGGGGGGCTTCCGCATGTAGGAAGGTAGCACGTTCACCAAGAAGGGGTTGGACGACGCAGCCGGGATTCTCACGTCTCCATCCCTGCTCTGGCTTGCCGAGGGACGAGGCAGAGACAGCGGTGACATCCTCCGCTCGCAGACGGCCACAATGTCTCTGCAATGCCAGGCAGGGCGAGATTAGCGCTGGAAAGAGTCAAGCACAGCCTCCTCAAGGCTGTCAAAGTCAGGACTCTGAAAAGTATAGACCCTCTAAAAGGAATGTCGGTCACCCTTTATCACAAAAAGCTCAGGTCATTACAAATGTGGACAATAGAACAACACTGTTGTGTTAAACTGTAAAAACTAAAGGTTAATAACATTCCCACATTTAAAAAACCAGGAGCTTAAATAAATACAATTATTTCTGTTTTCTTGTATCACCAAAAAAAGAGGGCTTAAATTAAAAATTAAATCTAATCAAATTTAGATGAGAACCAATAAGAATAATCTAGGTAGAATGTGACTCCAATCCCCCAACACACAAAATCATTTAATAATTTAAAATATGAATACAATAGGTAAAGAGATTTCAAGATCAGAGATGGGGCAAGTTTAGTAGAAAGAATGTATTCCCTAGAATATTATATATCTGTCATGCAAGTCCTGTGTGTTTGTGTGTGTGTGTGTACATACACACACAATATACTTTCAAATTTAAATTCAGATATTTAATATGTTTCATCAATTCCAGTGAGGAACTTCAATTCCAAAGACAGTTTTAAAAGATGTCCGTCTATTAGATGTTTCCAAATCTTGTCAATTAATGTTTTTCAAATCTTACTGTATATCATATCTTACTGTATATTTGTTAGCCACATCTGTTGGCTAGGACTAACTTTGGGACAATCTGAAATTTTTCTTCTGGGCCTCCTCCAGAACATTCATATGTGGTAAGTTAAATAGATTATTGGAATACAAGTATAATGGGTTTCAAAGTTCCTCTTATCATTACAATGATTTCATGATTTCCCAAAAAAGCACTTTTGATCTTCTTTTCCCAACCTACGTTCATGCCACAGGCGAACTAATCAACATTTCAGAAATAATTTTAAAAATGAATACATGGAAGATCTGGATAGAAAATGGGTTTAAGCTATGGACTGATTTTGAGAATGATTGTGCTTTTCTCATTTTCTGCTGCAAAGGACAAATGCTTGTCTGCTATTGACCATTACAACATCTCCAGGTACCTTAATTGGAATATGCATAATTTTCAGCCTTCCAAAAGCCTAATCTACTCCAAGTGGCAATTAAATCCTTTGACAAGCTACAATTACCCTACAGAAGAATCTGGGAGATACGAGAGCTTTTAGTGGCTGAATGGAATGAAAAATTAGGGATTTCCTGGACAGTGGAAAGAAGCGTTAACAACAAAACACTGATGGTAGCAAAAACTTTAGTAGAGAGTAGATAATGTCTACTTGGGCAAAAGGTATCTTGGGAGTTGTTTAGCTCCAGCTCAAATTGTTGAGCAATTTGTCAAATTGTTGGAAAAAAGTGGAAGTCAGTCCTTATCCTGCAGTTACTCCATTTCTGCGTAATATTCCATGCATTTATTCAATATAGGAAGAAATTTATCTCCAGGCAGTTCTTTCCTTGCAGTTGTTGGGAGAAAAAGTGTGATTGCTCCTGTCTGTGGAATGAAAGCCTCCGGTGAGAGTTTAAGCAACATGCCAGGATTGGAGTCAGAGCACTCCCGACTGAAATTCATCACTGAATGCAGGTTGCTTATGGTGAGGACGTGAACCCGCTTCCCCTTTGAGGCAAAACAGGAAAGATGGTGAATTTATTGGTTTGAAAAAGAATGAAGTAGATAATCTGTGACAGCAACTTATCAGTTTCACATGAGAAAGGGTCATATACTGATTCAGAAAATCAAAGGGAATCTGTTCTCAAGCTTGGAATTTCATGGGAATTTACAGGTCTTGTTATTAATGTTCTTCAGTATTGGGAGGTTTGTGCATTTGAGTTGCTCCCACCTAGATGACAGAAATGAAAGCTTGAAGTGAGCAATTGTCACATTATAAAAATGAAGGTGAGGAATTTCTTCACAGCATCATAACAGCCGACAAAGCAAGGGATCGTTGTTAGGACCCACAAAGTGCAAGTCTATGGAATTTCATCAGAAAACTTCATGTGAGGAAAAGAATTCAAAGTCCAGGAAATTTGGCAGGAAAATTCAGGGTTATACTTTTTGAGAATGTAGATGGTGTTTATCACATGAATTTCCTGAATCCAATACATCTATCAGCTCAAAGTTCTATATGTAAGGCTCAAAAGAGGAGTTTGCAAAGGAAAGTTAATTTTGCTGCCACACAATGCCAGGCCTCACACCTGGTGTGAGCCACCGAAGACACAAACTTGCATCTCACTGGCCTCCTCCATCCACCACGCAGCTCAAACCTGGCACCATAAGACTTCCACCTGTTCATAAAACCTTCCTGGGTATCTGCTGGACTTGAATGAACAAAAGGAAAGAGGCTGGTTGAAAAGACAAAGGGTGGAGTTCCTTTGCGATGGTTTTAAGAGACCTGACCATCAGTGGCAGAAATGTGTAGTGAATGGAGGTGACTATAGAGAAATAAATGCAAGGAGAAAAGCTAATTTATAAGGGCTATTTTCCTGTTTATATAGTAAAATATTCCTGATTAAGATAATAATGGCAGTAGAGGCAATATTTTTCAATCAACCCTAGTGCATTGCTCCAATTACTCAACGGTCTACAGAACTGTTGGATCAGCTATGGATGATTATGATGAACTATGACTTCCATTCACTGAAATGCCTTTATATGTGAATATATGTTTCTGTTTCTTCTTTGTAACTTTGTGTATATTTCTTTTTCATAATCAAAAAAGGCAAAAACACTCTCCTGGAATTACCAGTCGGCCACCCCCCCCCCCAGTTCCACTCGAAGAGCCGGAAGCAGCGGGGGGGGGGGCTTTTCTGCCAGCCGAGGGAAAGCGCGGGCAGCTCTTCCGAGCACATCTTGCTCAGCAGCCTACTCGAGGCTTGCACGGAAGCCTCCGTTCACACGTACAAAGCCGGACTTCAGAAGTTCATCAACACGGAACAAAAGCTCTCTTACGACTGGCCGGCCACCCGGGTCAGCAAGTAGCGCAAAGCCGATTCGGGGGCTTGGGGGCCAATTCCGGAGGGGCAGCGGGGCCAATTCCCCCCCCCCCCAGAGAGGATCGCGGGAGTCTAATCGGCTCCGGACCGGCCAGCAGAGCCTCTCCCCTTCCTCTGCTCATCGGCGCACGGAGAGGCGCGGCCGCTTTTGCACCGGGGCAGAAACGGCGCGGCCGGCTGGGCTCTCCCACCTGCCCGGGGCTGCCGCCGCCGTCGCCGCCTGAGGCTCCGGACTGAGGCCGCCGGCGTCCCTCTCCCACTCGGGAGTCCCCTCCGGGGCCGCCTCCTCTTCGGCCAGGGGCTCGCCTTCGCCGGCCTTCTGCTCCGGGGCCTCCGCATCTGCAACAGGAGGGAGACGCCGCGGCGCCCGCTCGCAAACCCGGGCAGAGATGGCAACCGAGGCGGGGCAAAGGCCGCTGCTCGCCAAGCCCTGTGCGGCCTCCGGCGGCGGGACCGGCTCTTCCTTCCACCGGTCAGCCGGCCGGGCCGAGGGGAAGCGGGCTCCGGCCGGCCCGGCTCCGGGCGCGAAGGCAGCCGACGGACCGGAGCTCCTGAGCGGCCCGTCCCGAGGAAGGCCGAACGGTGGAGAGCCTGAAGGGACGCGGCTCCTTCGCTAGCTGCCCGCGAGGCCGAATCAGAGCCCGGAACGACGCCGTTCCGCAGCGGCCAAGTCCCTCGAGGGAGGAGACGCTCCAGCCGGGTCGCCTCAGTCGCTCTGACCGGCAGGCGCCCCGCGGGACCCCCCGTCGCCCCTCCGAGCTACTTACCGGCTAGCCCCCCGGCGGCCCCCGGGCTGAAGGGAGCGGGCCGCGCCGCCAGGAGCCCCTCCCGGGTAACCGCCCCGCCTACCTTCCGGGCGCCCCGCCAACTCGCCGGGGCCGCCGCCGGCCCGCTTCGCCTTGTCCCGGCTAGCAGAGGCGCCTTCGCTGTCCGCGGAGAGGAAGCCTGGCGAGAGGCAGGAGAGGCGAGGGGGCGCTCCGGAAGGCCCGCCCCGCCCCGCCCCGCCCCGTCCGGTCCGGACCCCGGCCCGCTCGCCCACCTGCCTGCTGGAGCAGCGGCTGCATGATGAGCCGGTACTGCAGATCTGCGAGGAGAGAGGGCGGAGAGGGCGGGGTCAGGGCGGAGGGGGGTCGAGGCGGCCCCGCCCCTCCCCCTCCCCCCCGCCCGCACCCTGGTTGCGCCGCTTCAGCCGGTCGATCTCCTGGTGCAGCTGCCGGAGCGTCTCGCCGTGTTGCTCCTGCAAGAACTGCAGGCTGCGCTCCAGCTCGGGGGCCGCCCGCCTCGGGGGGGGCGTGGGCGGCGGGGGGGCGTCGGCCAGGCCGGGGGTGCCGAGCGCGAAGGGCCGGCAGGGCCGCTCCGCCTGCCCCGCGCGTGGCCAGTGCGGCAGGTGGCCCAGCGGCGGGAAGCCCGAGCCCTGCATGCGCTACCAGCCTCCGGGGCGCATCGCGGGGAAGCCGAGCAGGGCCGCTCGAGCCTCGCTCGCTCGCCCGACCGCCGCCGCGTCCCCGTCGCCAAGGAGACCGAACGCGCGCCCGATGGCCGGGGACGCGCGCGGGGTCTCCGGGGAGGCCCCCCCCGCGCGCGCTTTCCCCGCGGGGCCGCCGAGGCGCCGGTGGCGGCCGGGACTGGCGCAGCCCTTTCGGCCCCTCCCGAAAGGACCGCGGGTGGCGGCGAGGGCTTCCCGCTCGCCCGGCTCCCGCCTGGCCCAGCCGAGGCCGCCGCGCGCTGAAGGAGGGAGAAGCGGCGGGGGCAGGGGAGAGTCCGAGGCCCCCGTCTCCCCCCAGGCCGGCGGCCCTCGGCTTCCCTTTCCCGGCCGAGAGTTCCCCACTCCGAAAACTCCTGGCGGGACTGCACGAGGCGGCAGCGGCGGCCCGGCCCTCCACCTGCACTCTTGGCCAGACGGAAGACGGGCCCGGGCGGAGGGGGCCAGGGCTGAGCCCCCCTCGAAGGGAAACGGGGGCTACTCGGAACCCCCCTGGCTCTTCAGCAGCCCCGACCCCGAGGCCCCCTCCTGGAAGGGCAGCTCCACCGTCCAGCCAGACATTCCCCGATATCCCCGGCTGGGCCAGCGCAACAGACCTTACTTTGGGCAGCCCCTTTGGAGACCCCCATAATGCAGGTGTGTGGCCAGGTGCCGACGGGAAGGCGGGGCCCAACTCCACCGTTGCCCCTCATCAAGGCTTGCAATTCACGGAGTTGGCTACTTCTGTGGCCCCTGTGAAAGCATTTTGTGCAACTTCCATGGAACTAACAGGGCAGGGATGGGGGGGGGGGCAGGAAGCTTTCCTTCCCTGTAAGAGGCCTTCCCTCTTTGCCCAATGGAGTCTTGTTCTCCTGTCTAAAGGCTGTCAAACCTTAAATTTCTCCATGTATGGGGATGCAGGGTGTGTTTGTGTGTGTGTGCGCGCGCACGCTGTTGTCACACCTTGCCGGCTGATCTTAGGCTACAAAGAGAAGCCTAGAAATTAGGTAATAAATGATCACTTATGATCACTGTTTTGCATCCACCTGGTCCTCAGAACCATGGTTTGCCACTTTTTCAGTCACTATTTTCTGTTCGTTGAGCCCCCTCCCCTTATGATGAATAAGGGCTGGTGTCAGGGTACCCTTACCCTACACTGCATCTTGCTTGCTGTCAGCAGCCTGCCGTTAAAAGGGGGGAGGGCATTGGGTGTATGAGGGAGGGTTGCCAGGTGGTAGCATGAGGAAATGAAACCAAGCCCTGGACGTCCCGTGAGAAAATCCAGCTGCTTCAAGGACCAGAGAGGAACGCCAGCTGCAGGGACAGGGACTGTTTCCCCAAACAATTTGTTAGCACCTAATTGGACATTTCTTGATGGGGGGGGGGTAGATAGGGACACGGAAAGGTTAACCATATACTTCGGGCAGAAAACCTCAGATCCAGCTTTGCTTCTTCTGTAAATGTTTGGCTTTAATAAAGTATATCTATGGGCCTAAAAGTTTTTCTTTTCTAACTGACCAAGTTGGGACAGCTGACAGCTGGACCCCACAATTCAGCAAAGCACCCCCACGTTGTATTACAATCCAAGGCACTGCTTGCACAAGTGAACGGGTCCTCAAACTGCAAAATGAAGACTGCTAAGCTGGAAGGCTGCAAGGAGACTGGTGCAACAGCTGGTTGCCCTGGGCACTGAATTGGCGCCTGGCTGCAGAAACTGGCATAGCCCAAGGAGCCACACCGGGGACGCCAGAGTGGCTCGGGCCCCCTGCTTCTTTCGGCTTCCTCCTGCCACCAGAAATCTCCCAAGGCCATACTGTTGGTTTTTTTTTTTTTTTTTAAAAAACAACCTTTATCAAAATAGAATGTATACATAGCAACAGCCTGGCAATAGAATTATACCCTCTGAATGTGCGGTTAAGCAGACTTCTTCAGCACCCAGGAGAGTCTGCACAGCCAGCTGAAGGTAGGGCTTACTCGGGCCTTCTGCTGTCAATGAAGCTGCCTTTTCTCAGTCAAAATGGTCATCCCGCAGGCAAAGAGAAGGTATCCCAGGAGGAGGAGGAAGGTACAGGCCGCTGGCCCAAGGCAGAACCAGGGTGCCATGAAGTAAACTATCAGCATGGAGAAGAGAGCCCTGTAACTGGCCAGAAACCTCAGGCTGACTCTCGGCTGCTGAATCTGCCCCACGTGCCACTTGGTGTGTGGGCTGCGCTGGGCCTTGTTCCCCAGGGAGGGGTTGGCAAGGTGATAGCGGCAGAAACTGCCAAGGAAATCTTCTCTGGCGCAGAGCCTCTCCATCTGGCTTCCGAACTAGAAGGGACCAAGGTGAAATGAACACAAGATGAGGGAAATGAGATCGAACCCTTCAATCACAAGCGTGAAAGCCAAATGGACCCCACCCTCCCTCAGGGATGGCTAAGCACAGAATTTGCTGCCACGGCAAATTGCTTAGACAAAAAGAGCACGGTCCTAATCCCCTGTGGCCTTGTCCAACAGGCCACAGACTTCTAGTCCTCATGAGGCGATGCCAGCCTGATCTAGATCTACTCCGGCATCTAGACCCTGGTGGTGAGAAGAGGCCAGTCTGGAGGCGCTCAGAATGTGAAGGCAAAGGGAAGAAGGCTCGATGGCTTGGGAGCCGAGAGGTTCACTTACGCGTTCATTAATGGCCAAAGACAGCCGGAAAAACAGACGGACGAGAGTGGTGCTTTCGTAACTTCGGATTGGCTGAAGCTCCGGGTCTCCCTGGTACTCTACCTGGAACCTGCGCAGGCCGTTGATGATCTAGTGCGAGAAGAAAAGCCTTGGGTCGTGAGACCAAGACACAAAAAGCCAGCAGTTCTGGACCCATCGTCTATCTCAGAGAGAACCTGCAGCAGTGCTGCTGCAACTCAGCCTTCCAGCTGAGTGAATTAATTACATCCTCCTCACACAGGTTTTTTCCTAATTTTTCCAGTGAAATTATTTAAAAAATGACTTTCAGACAAATCTTCCTATAAAGCAACCTCAAATCTCCAAAATAGCCTTATGTCAAAGGGCAAAGGTTACTGACCCCCCCCCCTCCTCTGACCACGGGAAAACAGCCAGCCAGCATCCTGGAGGAGGAGCCTTTCTTTGGGCCAGCCGATCACTGCAAGGAGATCTTCTTTCCCAAGCAAAGCTTTTTTTTTTTTTTTTTTTTTTACTATCTCCTGCTTCTTCACCCTTCAACAGTGTTTCATATGTGTGCACAGATATCTGTACCAGCAGAAGTGCGAAAATACTCAGTTCCAAGATGATATTGAAAGCTGATAAAAATTATTGTAAACCACAGAAACTTACAGTTTGTGGACTGTATACTGATTTGAGACAAATCTTTATATGTTTTTCAACCAGAATTTTTAATCCATGTATATTCAAGGGTTCTCTCAGCTGACTTTGGGCTCCTGGTATGGTAGCCAAATTTCTGGCTGACATGATTATATGCTGGAAAACACTTTTCTGAATAATTGGTTTCCCATGAAATGTCAATATGTACGTCATTTTCTTCTTCCTTACATTTGTTCTTGAGCCATTTTAATGTAACAAACCACCCACTTACTTAGCAATAAATGTATTAATTTTATAAGGAACATAAAACAATCATTTCTGAAAAAAGGAAATGTGACTCCATCCGCAGGGATGGCATCAGAGAAACTGAGCCGTGGAGTGCAAGAAGAGGAGACGTGCTTGGCCTTAGTGACAAACTGAACACCAACACCTCACCAGGCTCTGAAGGCCCCACGAAGAGTTATTGAGGAGTTGAAAGCCGAGACTGTGGACTTCCCAACTAACACATGCAACCTGCCTCTACACTAAGCCTCTCTAATGGAAGACCAGAAGGGAACTCAAACTTTTAAGAATTGGCTCATGGGGAGGCACAAAATTTTTTAGGCCTGTTTGATTAACATCTGAACATAGTGGAAATTGCTATAAACAATAAATTACTAAATGCAGAATAATAAGAGTTGGAAGGGACCTTGGAGATTTTTTAGCTCCAAGCTCCAAGCTAGCTCTCAAGCAGGAAACCCTAGACTATTTCAGACAAAAGACTGTCCAATCTTTTCTTAAAAGCCTCCAGTGATGGAGCGCCCATAACTTCTGGAGGCAAGCAGTTCCACTGGTTGATTGTTCTGTCAGGAAATTCCTCCTTAGTTCTAAGTTGGTTCTCTCCTTGTTTCTTATCTCGCCTTCTGGTGCTTTGGAAAATAGATTGACCCCCTCTTCTTTGTGGCAGCCCCTCAAATATTGGAACACTGCTCTCATATCACCCCTAGTCCTTTTTACTAGATCAGACGTAGCCAGTTCCTGCGACCTTTCACATGTTTTAGCCTTCAGTTCCATAATCATCTTTGCTGCTCCTCTCTGCACTTTTTCTAAAATCTCAGCATCTTTTTCATATCACGGTGACTAAAACTGGATGCAGCATTCCAAGTGTGGCCTTACCAAGGCTTTGTAACCCAGTACTAACACTTAATGTGATCCCGATTCCATCCCTCTGTTAATGCAGCTTAGGACCACCCTAGCCCCGCTGCATCTGTGGACTATGCTCCAGAACACCTTCACTGTCTAACTAAACTAATAGCCGTTTCTGAGGGTGTTATTAAACATGTGGATAAAGAGGAGCTACTAGGCATCATTGACTTAAATTTCCAAAAAGCCTTTAATAAAGATTCTCATCTGCCCAGGAAGCTTAACAGCCATGGAAGACAACGGCAGGTAAGCAAGTGGCTGGTGACTAGTAAACCAAGAGAGGGACAAAGGGACATTTTGAATGGCGCCCTTTAACTTTTTCACAAACTACTTGGAGTGACCAAGTTTGTTGATGAAGCTAAATTGTTTAGGGTGGTAAAGACAATAAGGGACCACGAAGAGCTCCATGTTGGAAAGTGGAAGTCAAAATGGCAGATGTCAGGCAAGTGTAAAGTGATACATGTTGGTGCCCAAAATCCCAGCCAGTCTTCCAAACTGATGGGATCGGAGCTAGGAGTGAACGATGAGATCTCAGAGCAACAGTAAACACTTCAGTGGAGGTGCTGATCGAGGGGTGT